TATTAGGTTGACAAGGATGAAATTTGTAGTTAATAATATTGCCAACTTCAACAATTTATTATTTGACATTGGCTTAATATTTTACCGTTCTGTTTTTTTTTATTGGGAAGTTACAAATCTCGCTTGTTTAAAGAAATTATTTTAAGCTCTAAAAAATATTGAAAACTTTTTTAAAAATTAATTTTGTTGAAAACGGAACGGCCGAAAATTCGCACTATTATGAAGTACGAGTTCTTACGTGGAACTACGAAATAGACGCGTGAAACATTAATAGCGTATTTGGCTCTAGTGTAACTAAACAGCAGTTAGTATCAAATTGGTCGTTATGATTTTATGAAACCTGGCTCACCGATCACAGCAGAAATATACTGCAACCAACTGGACGAAATGATGCAAAAACTTAAAAAAAAATCAGCCTAGATTGGTCAACAAATCGACTTCCATCTTATTGCATGCTAACGTTAGATCACACACTGCACAAACGACTGTGGCAAAACTACAGGAATTGGAGTTGGAACTTCTTCATCATCCTCCATACTCGTCACTTCTTCCACAATTTGAACAATTTTTTAATAGGAAAACAATTTAATTTCGACAATGCTTGTAAAACTGGTCTTCCAGGAATTCATTGACTCTCGTCCGCCAGGGTTTTATATCACCGGCCTGAACAACCTGCCGCTTAAATGGCAAAAGTGCATAGACAATACGGGTGCATACTTTGATGAATAAAATAATTCCTCATATTTGTAAGTTATGAAACAACTTTGCCTTCTTTTCTACAAATTTCATACTTGACGACCTGCTAAAATGATTTTGTGCGCAGACCACTGCAGAATTCTTACTTCTTGAATACTTCTGGAATCTTACTCTTCTCTATGTTCGGCACAGGGCAGATGAACACGGCCGGCTTGTTCAGCTTGAAGTGGTAGTAGTCGTTGTCCACCACGATCACGATGGCCTCGTATTGGTAGCGATTCCAAAACGTGATCGAGAGGAGCACCAGCAACACCAACGCCATGCCCACGACGATCATAACCAGGTATCTTGAGGATCGCGAACAAGAAAATTGGGTTACCAGCTCTGCTAGACACCGGCTGAAGAAGATCATCTACTTTACTCTCAAGATTAGATTTACTTTTCAATCGGATGTCTGTTCGGCGCGACGATGTGGTTGAAACCGAGCACGGTGGAGCCGCTGCAGAATTCAACGAAGTACTTCCGGAGCTGCGATTTCGGATTGATCGTCGGCATACCGATCTCCGTTGGATCGTCCGGTGGCACCGCCGCCAGATTCTTCAGAGTCGCTTCGTTCCGAGTCTGGAAGTCCGACAAGATTTCATTGCCGTAAAAATAGTCAAGCTTTTGCAGCGGCATCGACTTGTTCAACGACGATTTCGGCATGGTCACGACTATTTCGCTACTTTTCCGTTTCTGTGCTCGATGGAACACGTTCTCCTCTGTTTTCTAGCATCATGCGACAATTAATTATGAATAGCTCGGCAGAGATCGGTGGAACAGACAACGTGTTCGAATCGACGCGATCTTGATCGCGATTGTGCGATAGGATATAATGAAAATCGATGAAGAGAACGGTTTTAAAATTGTTCGCTTTTATTGTTCTTGTTACGAATCGCATCGTCATTCGTGATTAATGGTAATAGACCGCCGATTTTTATGCAAAAAAGGATTAGTTGTAAGATACGGAAGCTGATTAGACATTTCTTTCTTTCTACGATTATTACAAATAATGCGATAGTATTTTTAAATAAATTAATTTGTAACGTTTTGCATAAAATCTGCGGTTTATTATTTACTCAGCATGTTGTAATTGCACTCCAATTGCAATCACGAACTACAGTCTAATCTAATTGGACAGAGATCTGAATTACGAATCACCATGTGATCGAATTACATATAATGAAAACTAAACTACAATATAATCGAACTGTAATATGTAATTATAATTCTTCGGGCAATTCAATTGTAATTCTGCGCAGCTCTGCAGCACAGCAACGTGGTAATTATAATTAATTGTAATTAGGGAAATCTTCGATCGCTGGTCATCGCCTACTGTGTAGTCGCGAGCGAAAGAAAAACACGCGAATCGATTCTTCGCGGAGTTCGTGCACGCTGTACGAGAGCACAGAACAGACAGACGGATCACGATCATCAAACTTAGCATGTGCGAACGGTGAATCCTGCTTCAGGGGGTTCCGGATGTGTCCGGGTCGAGCCGCGTCGCAAATTTAATCGACGTTTTCGAACCGTGTTACTTGCGAACTTTCATGGAAATGGTAACGTCGCGACGGGCACGTAATTTCGAACCACGTCTGTTTCCACATTTTCCGCAGGAACAGGCGTATTGCTCGTACTGCGTTCAGCCGATACAGGACATCGAGCTCCTGCAGCCGGAAGTCAGGCCAAGGCGAAGGCCGAAGAGCCAGCTGCAACGTTGCCCGTCCTGTCATTACTCTCTCGAGGTGCCGAAACATTCCTCTGGAAAGACCAAGTAATTTCTCGTCGATCTGCTGCTGTTCCTGAAGTGTCTCGACGACGACACTCGAACACTTTAATAGGTTCTATTTGTAACAGCGTTTTTGGAAGCTTTTTATAGGTTTTATATTTAACAGTACTTATGGAGCTTTTTAATATGTTCTATTTATGACAGTACTTATGGAGCTTTTTAATGGGTTCTATTTATGACAGTGCTTATGGAGCTTTTTAATAGCTTCTATTTATGACAGTACTCATGGTTCTTTTTTGCAGGTTCTATTTATAACAGTACTTATGGAGCTTTTTAATAGCTTCTATTTATAACAGTACTTATGGAGCTTTTTAATAGCTTCTATTTTTAACAGTACTCATGGATCTTTTTAGCAGGTTCTACTTATAACAGTACTTATGGAGCTTTTTAATAGCTCCTATTTTTAACAGTACTCATGGATCTTTTTAGCAGGTTCTATTTACAACAGTGCTCATGGAAATATTTATATTTAACACTACATTTACAATGACCGGTCTTTCTTTTAAAACCGTTGAAATTATAACGCGTCCCTGCTTGCAGATGCTACAAGAACATGGAAACGATATTGGACAGTTACGCGGACAAGCTGGGGATGAGCCTGCCGCAGAGCCACGAGGAATCGGTGATTCGAGTGGTGTGTGGTCGCGGGACATCTAATTCGTACAATCATTCGAGGAAACGGCAGACCAGCGGTCACCGGTGTCACCGGAGGTGCGAGGAGGACCAGATTTTTCTGGCTGACAACGTGGACAGTTGTTGCGTGTACCCGCAACACCTGGAGAACGGGCGCTTCCACGACAATTGGCGCGATTACAAAGTAAAGGTTCGAAGCTACCGGTATCTGTTTGCTAGAGATGGGACGCTCGAGAACCCGAAACCCCTCGAACTCGTGTAACTCAAACTCTATGTTCCTGGAGCTTTTTGCTCCTTGGAAAAAGGGGAGAGAAATGAGAAGTTTCGGATTTGAGTCTCGTTGATTTGCAAATCTATATTATAGATATATACAAAAAAATCTATATTATAGATATACACAAATCTATATTACAGAGATCTACTATAATCTATATTATAGATAAATACAAAAATCTATATTATAGAGATCTACTAATCTATATTATAGATATATACAAATCTAGATTATAGATATATACAAATCTAGATTATAGATATATACAAATCTAGATTATAGATATATACAAATCTAGATTATAGATATATACAAATCTAGATTATAGATATATACAAATCTAGATTATAGATATATACAAATCTATGTTATAGAGATCTACTAATCTATATTATAGATATATACAAATCTATGTTATAGAGATCTACTAATCTATATTATAGATATATACAAATCTAGATTATAGATATATACAAATCTATATTATAGAGATCTACTAATCTATATTATAGATATATACAAAGCTATATTATAGATATATANTCGCGGGACATCTAATTCGTACAATCATTCGAGGAAACGGCAGACCAGCGGTCACCGGTGTCACCGGAGGTGCGAGGAGGACCAGATTTTTCTGGCTGACAACGTGGACAGTTGTTGCGTGTACCCGCAACACCTGGAGAACGGGCGCTTCCACGACAATTGGCGCGATTACAAAGTAAAGGTTCGAAGCTACCGGTATCTGTTTGCTAGAGATGGGACGCTCGAGAACCCGAAACCCCTCGAACTCGTGTAACTCAAACTCTATGTTCCTGGAGCTTTTTGCTCCTTGGAAAAAGGGGAGAGAAATGAGAAGTTTCGGATTTGAGTCTCGTTGATTTGCAAATCTATATTATAGATATATACAAAAAAATCTATATTATAGATATACACAAATCTATATTACAGAGATCTACTATAATCTATATTATAGATAAATACAAAAATCTATATTATAGAGATCTACTAATCTATATTATAGATATATACAAATCTAGATTATAGATATATACAAATCTATATTATAGAGATCTACTAATCTATATTACAGATATATACAAATCTATATTATAGAGATCTACTAATCTATATTATAGATATATACAAATCTATGTTATAGAGATCTACTAATCTATATTATAGATATATACAAATCTAGATTATAGATATATACAAATCTATATTATAGAGATCTACTAATCTATATTATAGATATATACAAAGCTATATTATAGATATATACAAATCTATATTATAGAGATCTACAAATCTATATATAGATATATACAAATCTATATCTATATATCTATATAAGATTTACACATTTATACTGTCCGCCGACAGACGTTCCCGGAGGAGTACAGGAAGAGGAAAGAGTCCCGGAGTTCGAGGCAGCGCAGGAAGGACGAGCTGGAGAACGAGCACATCAGGTGCCAGCTGGACCTGCTGCGATGCGACAGCGCGGAGACCGCCGGCGATGATTTAGAAAATCGGCGAACGCAGAGGAAATGTTACAACAACTTCAACTTCTTAGAAGTTAGCACAAAGTGTTCCCGGTGACGAACGTCCTCGGCGTTTCACAAATTTCACCTCCTCTTTAAACTTTAGCCCTGTTCATCGCTTGTTCTTGCAGACGAGACTCGGAGGAAGGGGGACAGACGATCACGATCTCGCGAAGGGGAGATCCGAGCGCAGTCAGAATGCCCTAAACTTGGTGCCTAAGCCAGGCAAACGGTCCGCCGGTCGAAAGCACGCTGTCTGCAAGCCCGAGGACGAGTCGACGAACAGCGACGACGAGAAGCTTCTTCAAGGACGAGATCAGGACGCCAGGAAGAATCTTTACGACGCCGGTGACTTGAATCTTCGGGCCACGAAGAACGAGATCGTCGGCATGATCGACGAGGTCAGGCACGTGTTCTCATCGTCGACGGATCAACCAAAGGTCCGCTATAGTTGTCCACGTCCTCTGATCTACAGCAACGGTCGTTTTAAGATGCTGTTCCCAGGTAGCACAAAGACGTCTCAAAGACGTCTTTAAGATGCCTGTTGCAGGACATTCGGAACGTCCTCATAGAAATAAATTGATAAAATATTTTTGAAATACATTTAACACGTTCCGGAAATATCACTGCAACGACATCTCTGACATCTACCTGTAGAATTAATATAAAACTGGTCTCTTGAAACGTTCAATTTTCAGAACGTCCCTAAGACGTCTGAAATTGACCTCTTTAACATTAGAACCATCAAACCGGTCGAAACGACCGACCCCCGACTTCTTTTATAGCTATTGAAATTATAAAATTATTTCTACGAGAAACTTTTCGGCAAACTTCTTTATTGAAGCACATTACTGGTTCAAGGTCGCGCGAGGATCGTGTTATAACATGTTATCGGATTCGTCTTGATCTTAGCTATCACGATATAACGATAGAAAGCCGTGATTCCGTTTAAAGATACATCGACGATCTTGACACCTCGGAAAATATGACCTTTGAGAAAAAGAACTATTTCCACCGCGATATCACCCTGTATATTTAGCCTACTCTAATATTTACAGAACGTCGAGTCGACGCGAGGACTGGTGAAAGAGGAGCCCTGCGTAGAATTAACGCGTGCTCTGCAGGGCGACTGCTGCGGGTCCTTGAAGGACCTGCTGACCCACCGCGGAGTGAACCAGGACTGTATCAAGCACTTGAAATCGGTGCGGTGGAAGCACATGAACCACATCCAGGACATGTTCAGCCAGCTCTGCACCCTCCAGAAGTTCCTGGACACGTGTTCGCCCAGACTGTCGTTGTCCGCACCGCAAACGCACACGGCCGCGGTCGAGCAACGCGTCGAGGAGCGACAGCAACAGCCCCACGAAGAGAAGTAGCAACGCGAGCATCTCGCGCCGATTGCTCGAGAGACCGCGGCGGCGCCCACGATCATGCTTTTAGATGACTGTATTTTTTCAGCGATTTAAACGCGGCCTGTACGCCCGAACAAATGGCGTGGACGCGAGTGAAATAAATATATTTTCTAAGTATAAAGAAATAAATACTTGCAGAGCGTCGGCGAGGTTCGGTACCCGCCTCTTAAGCACTATCAGCAGTCTCTACTAACGATCGCTGGTCAACTACGTGGACGTGCGAACGAGAGATGTTCTCTAGAGACTGTCTCTTACTTCGAAGACCGTTTCCGAAGTGTAACGCGACGAATTTTACGAGATTTTAGTGTAATACAGTCTGTCGAAAAACATTTCTTGTATTGGCAAAATAATCCATATCTGGGTTGCGAGAAGATACGGCTTTCTAAATTCGATATTGTTCAAACAATTTATTTCATATTGTTCAATTTCTTTTCCGGAAATGTTTCCAAGTCGATTAAAAACACGCATTTCAAAGCGAACAGTATACTGCGCCTTGCCAGTACTCGAGATATCTAAAAACGAAGACATATTTTTGATCCTCCAGCTTAGCATCGTAGCCGATATAAAAAGATACGCATAAAACAGCTTCCAACAAACTATATTATACCAAAATCTCGTTAAAATCGGCGCGTTGCGCTTGGAAACGTGGCCCTGTCGGCCGTCTTTATCGCATACTTTGCTTCCTGCAAAGTATAAAGCAGCTGTATCGCGGAGCACAGCTCGGTGAAATACGGTCCGGCCGCGTGCGCGGTTCAAAACCTAGTGTTGTCGGGCATTTTAACGAAGTACGCGACGTTGTCCTCGGCCACTCTGTAGTTGTGGATCCACCTGGACCCTTTCCTGAGGCTGCCGTCGATCCCGTCCCTCCAGACGCCCGCCGGCAGGTAGACCTCCCTCTGCCTGCTCCCGGAATAGATGACGGGAGCGACGATCAGCTCCTCGCCGACGGAGAACTCGTCGATGACCACGTGGCAGGCTGGATCGGCCGGGTCCAGCATCCACAGGGGCCTGATGATGGGCAGACCGGTCTCCAGTGTCTCCTTCGCGTACTTCTTCAGCAACGGCGTCACGGTCTTCTGCCGGAGCGTGGTCAGCCTCTTGGCGATCTCCAGGACGGACTCGTCCGAGTATTTGCTGGGAAGATGCGTGAACCGGATCACCGGCAGGAAGGTCGACAGCTGCAGCCACCTGATGTACAGCTCCTTGTCCGGCAGGCTGACCTCGTGGTCGTTGTCCGGGTTGTTGTCGGACATCGGCAGCGCCACGTCCCCACCGACAGCCCCGGGCATGATGAACGGATAGCCTATCATTCCGTAAGTCAGCACCGTCGGTATCACGGTCTTGATTTCCTTCCACGAGGAAGAGAATGGCGGCAGGGCGACGAACACCGGCGGTCGCGGTCTGGAGATCGCTCCCGAGACACCGACCACCGGCACGGAGCCCACGATCGCCTTCGTGAACAAGGTCTTGTAATGATCCGGATTGGTCAACGGTTGCTCGCATTTGTAGTAGTGCGGCATGTCCTGCGCCGTCCCGAGGTCCAGGTAGAACGAGTCCACGTGGTACTTCATGATCAGGCTCTCCAGCTTGCTCTGCAGCCACGGCAGCGTCTCGTTGTTCGTGATGTCCAACACACCTACGCTGTTGCCCTGCTTGTACCTGGCGAGCAGAGAGATCGGTAAAATGCTGCGATGCGAGTACAAAAGTCTTGATCACTTTAAATTGGACATGGTATATGTACATTGAATGACCAAGGTTTTGTTTCATTTTCTATGTATTATATATAGAAAATGAAACAAAACCTTGGTATATATATATATATTATATATTTATTATTATTATTATTATTATTATTATATATTATTATATATATATTGAATTATTATATTCTATGTTGGTTTGTTTTCTTTTCTTATTCTCATTTTATCTATCTTATTTCAGTGCAAGGTATCTGACGGTATAAGAAGATGGACCACCTGTGTAATCCGTAAGGAAATCAACGAAGATCGTCGCCAATCTAGCAGAGAATGCTTTCAAATGCAGCGAACGAAGAAAACGATGCTTGGAGAAAAGTATTTGACCGAGCGAGATGCTGAAGAAAAATATTTACATGTTGCTTTTCTGAAGTGCTTCAAAGTTTTCTAAAGTATTTGAAGTTTGCCCGGTTTATAAAGTTTATAAAGTTTATAAAGTAGCACTCTAGATGCAAATAATTTCTCAACGACAAGGTATGCACCTGGTCAACGCAGGTATCCTCGGGTCACTGCCCCGCTCCGAAATCAGAAGCCTGTTGTTAACCGCGTCCTTGAAGTTCACAGATTCGGTGGATATGAAGGGCTGTATGGTGAAGACGATCCTAAAGCCGCGACGATGGATGATATTGATGGTCTCCTCCATGGAAGGAAAGCGTTCCTCGTCGAGGACGAAGTCGCCGGTGCTGGGCTGCCATTCCTCGCTCAGCAGGACGTGTCCTTGCCGGAGGAAGCCGAGGGCGATCACGTTCTCCGTGTAATTGTAAATGGCGGCCTCGTCCATGGGCGTGATCTGCCAAACGGGCTCCGACAGCAGCGAATGGACCGCGTTCAGCTCGTCCGGCTTCAATCCGTCCCACAGAGACTTCTCCGCTATGGAGGAGTGCAGGTTCTTCATGTTGTCCGTCGCGCAGATCGTGTAGTTCAGCTGCGGCAGCGGCGTTAGGTGGTTGATGTACGCGAACGCGTCGTGCTGCGCCTGCGGTCGAGGGTGGATCGTTTAATTTAATTTGTCGATTGACGGAAAAATGTTAAATAATCTAATTTTCTTTGTCGCTAATCTATCAAACCGTCCGACAAATTGCGCGCATTTCGTTAAACTTTGTAATTCTCGATGCGACACCCATGGTAATTTTCAATGCGATAAACACGGCTCCGCGTTTAAATGGCTACAGTGGCGAGGGTGCGTCAAACTTGAAATCGAGCAACGCTATCTTAAAGTAGAGGTTCCAAGCTTTAATACTGAAAAAGAATCATTGTCCTACGATGATTTCTCGCGGAGTTGTCGTCGATCGAAGTTGGCCAATTTTTATCGAACATTTTTCTAAGTTATCGTATTTTTCAGCGGTAGCGCTGCGACCATGGAGCCGGAACTACCTGCAGACAGAAGTCGGTGCTCTTGTTGGCGTTGATAGAGACGTAGAGAGGCGAGTCCGGGTCGACGAGGATCGTCGCGCCCTTTGAGTTCAGGAAGTAGCGCTTGAGGACGTTGCCGAAGGGATGTTTCGCGGCGTCGCCGGTGATGAACGGACTGAGATCGAGGCTTCCCCGTTCGAGGGGATACGGTATGTTCTGCAAGTTACTCGCGGGATGGTGCACCTGGCCGACTCCGTACCAATGGCCTCGCTTCGCCGACCAGTCGAAGCAGTCCGTCGGCTTGTAGAAAGGGTTCAAGCTCTGCCAGGTTACGTGGTAGCAGTGCATGTCCTCGTGCTGCGTGTGCGCCAGATAGAGACGCGTCTGCTGCAACCACTCCAGGCAGACGGAGTCCGGTTTCTGATGATGCGGCAGACAGGGGAACACCCCGGTGTCCGCGGGGATCCCTTCGCCCAATCTGGCCGCGATCACCTCAGCCCCTGTGCTGCTGTACACGTGCATCATCCTCTCGTTCTTGTTGAATCTGGCGCAACAGCGAACAGGTCCGCGTAACTCGCGAGCATTCGAAACTTCGGAATTTCAGAATATTCGAATATTCGGGTACTGATCTAGCGTAATAGTTTTATTAAATACTTTTATATATAATTATAATATATATGATATACTATAATAATAGTATATTATATATTTATATTTATATTATATATTATATATTATATTATATTATATTATATATATATTATATATATATAATAATAATAATAATAATAATAATAGTATATAATAATATAATAATAATATATAATATAATACTCTCGTTTTTATTGAACCTGGTGCAACAGCGAACAGGTCCACGTAACTCGCGAGCATTTGAAACTTCTGAATTTCAAAATATTCGAATATTCGGGTACTAATCTAGCGTAATAGTTTTATTAAATACTTATATATATTCATATTTATATTATATATATAATATAATATATAATATATTATTATTATATTATATATATTTATATTTGCATTTAAAATACAATGTAAGTAAAATAAAATATTGTCATAAAATACAATAATTCATTATTGTATTTTATTTGAGTTTAATTAATGGTATTTTATATTCTACGTCAGTTTGTTATCTTTTCTTGTTCTCATTTTATCTATTTTATTTTAGTGCAAGGTATCTGACGGTATAACAAAATGGACCACCTGTGTAATCTGTAAGGAAATCAACGAAGATCGTCGCCAATCTAGCAGAGAATGCGATGGGTTTCTATACCTGAACTTGTCGAAGTAAGCTCGCTGCAGGACATGCTGAGTATAATATATATGTGCGAATCCGACGAGGAAGACGACGCAGAGGAACAGTATGCCAACGAACGCTCTAAGCCTGGAATGTTACAAGAAGCAAATCCTGATCGAAAACGATTCAACAGTGTTTAATTACCGACCAATTATTATTATTATCGTTTAAAGACCAACGACTGACCGATAGTCCGCGTTCTGCCTCTTCTTGCTGCTGCGCAAGGCTTGAGGAAGAGACATCTGCAGCTTCTCCTTCAGCAAACTGCTGATGCTGTTCACGCTCGTTATCGTCGAGTTCGCGCTCTGCGCACCCGGCAGCTCCAGCTGATCGGCCCCCAGTTTTTGGTTCATCATCGACGGCACGGTTCTGATTTTCCTGCGAGGCGGAGCTTGCAAGGGAACCCTGAAATAGCGTTTTTCTCAGCGGACGAAAAGGAATCGCGCGAAATACCGCGGAACGGGAGAGACATTGTTCGCAGCGTGTACCTTTGCAGCGACATAGCACTGCCGACGTCGTATCTCGGGATCATTACGTTGGTTTCAGGAACAATCGTGTCAGAGTCACTCTACAGATGCGTTTGTTCGGTCGGAGACGAAGTAACCGTACGAATTGTGTGAATTGTGTGAATTGAAAGTATTGCAGGAATTGTATGAATTGAAAGAATTGAAAGAATTGTAAAAATTGTATGAATTGTGCGAATTGTGTGAATTGTATGAATTGAAAGAATTGAAAGAATTGTAGAAATTGTATGAATTGTGCGAATTGTGTGAATTGTGTGAATTGAAAGAATTGTAGGAATTGTATGAATTGTGCGAATTGTGAGAATTGTGTGAATTGAAAGAATTGTAGGAATTGTATGAATTGTATAAATTGTACAAATTGTACAAATTGTACGAATTGTACGAATCGTATGAATTGTATTCAGAAAGCTCGTCGCACTGGCGTTTTAACACTGAACCTACCGACGATGAATGATGAACGATGAACGATGATGAATGACCGATTCCACGCTTTGTCTTTCAAACTTCTCGAGATTACAAAGACTTTATCGTACGAGATTATCGAGCGGATATCTCGGTTGCAGCGTGCATTGTAATAGAAAAGGCAGAAAGTCTAAACGAGTTCAGTCTTGTCATAATTACAAAGCGAGACACGTTAGTCACTCTCAGAGCTCGGCAGGTTTAGCGTTAAAAACCGGACGCGCGAAACGCGAATAGCGCGAGGCGGAGAGACGCGAGTTGAAGATCTCGCGAGAAGAAACGTTTCGTATCATTTGTAAAAATCAAACGAAAGAGAACCCGCTGGAAGCGGCTGCGTGGCGCGTCGTGCACACGCCGATCGACCGGACCAACGAAATGCGAGAGAGTTGAACGCACTTTTCTCCGCGAAAGAAAGAAAAACACGAAACGTCTCTTGACGGGCAGCAGCCGGTCGATCAACTACTGCGACGATTGCGAGAGCTGAAAACGAGTCGGTGCTACAAGCGATAACCCTCGGGCGATAGAAGCAAGGTCGGACCAGAAGATGATCCTCTCGAACGTCGCCCGACGCCGAGCCGGTTACCGGTTTCGTCCGGTTATTCGAAGGACTTTATTAAGAACATCTGGCTGCAACGTTGCAGTTCCTTCGCCGAGCAGCGTGCAATTCGAAACGGTTGCACCGGTTGCGACGGTCCCAACAAGAAGAAGTCTGCGACGAAATCATAATTCATCGCGAATCGAATGATCTCTAGATGAGTCGAGTTTGTTCGACCAGTCCAGCTGCTTTGGACGTTTCATTGTAACTTAATTGTAAGAGATCAACGCGATAAGGCATAGGCTATTTTGGAGAACTGGCTTTAATTTTAATTCTTCTCATTCTGTAAGCGTATTTTCGAGTCGTCGTATATAGGCAAGGTTGCTTAGTCGCTTTCAAATGCTACCGCAGAATTTCAATGATTTATTGCCTATCAGAGAGAGAGAGAGAGAGAGAGAGAGGCGCAATCTTCTTGTGTTGTCGTTTTCTTTTCAATCGGCGGAAATGATGAGATAACGGAAGCTCGTCGATATCCAACGATAGGGAGCTACCCCTTTCATCAGAGATACAGCAAGACGTTCTATGGATTCGACTGTTTAATCTCCGGGCTGATAAGATATTCGAGTATGTTATTAAATCCCTCTCATAAGGAACATTTTGGCGGCCGAAGAATATTCTGAGGATACAGAAATGTACAGCAAACTTTTTTTATGCAAGAGATGCGCAAACATTTCTTGCAGACATATAAGACAAAAGGTAAGGGCACAGAAATATTGAGGAAAATTTTCTGCTTCCATGTCGTGTGAGCGAACTTAATTAACAATATCGTAAAATATAATTATTTGAAATAATAGTTAATCATACTCTAAAGGTCAATTAATTAAGTTTCGTAATGTTGTTATTTGTTGTTGTCTACGATATCGATGCAGCAGACTCTCCTGAATATTTATGTATGTTTGGTTTAATTTTTCATGGCCTAATTTTGCCAAAATTAATGTTTTTATGCAACTCTGCAGAGAGCACGTGTGGCGCCTCTGGTGGAGAAACAATGAAGCTGTTTCCGATGTCCGTACAGCTCCAATTAGTGCGGTGGCAAAACGCGGAAATTGTTCGCCGAATTACCAACAGTCGAATGTGACGAACAGTTTGAACGTTTTGCCACCGCATTAATTGGCGCTGTACGGACATCGGAAACAGCTTCAATGTTTTTCCACCAGAGGCGTCACATGTGCACAACATAGGATCGCCTAAAAACATTAATTTTGACAAAATTAAGGCATAAAAAATTAAACTAAAGACACAGAACTGTTCAGGAGACTCTGCTGCATCGATATCGTATGCAACAACAAATGACAACATTGCGAAACTTAATTAATTGCTCTTTAAAGTTTGATTAACTATTATTTCGAATAATTATATCTTGCGTTATTATTAATTGTTTTTCTTACATGACATCGATGCAGCAAGTTCTTCTGGACAGTTACATGCCTTTGGTTTAGCTTTTTATTCCCTAATTTTGCCATAATTAATGTTTTTAAGCGACCCTACATTGTGCACACGTGGCGCCTCTAGCGGAGAAACAGTGAAGTTGCTTCCGATGTCCGTGCAGCGCCAATTAGTGCGACGGCGAAACACTCAAACTATTCGCCGAATTACCAACAGTCGCATTCGGCGAATAGTTTGAGCGTTCTGCCACCCCATTAATTGGCGCTGTACGGACATCGAAAGGAGCTTCATTGTTCTGCCACCAGAGGCGCTGCCGGAATAATAAATCAAATAGAAATAGCAAATAAAACAAGTAATATAACGTTTTGCCGTCGGAATTTCTTAACGTTCGAGGACTCAAATTAAAGCTGAAAGTCTCCGCTTTAAGCTGAGGTATTTTTGGTTAAAAAAGAAAGTCGAAATCATTTCGAAAAATTGGAAAAACCCGACCACTTACTCGGTAGAAGATGACTCGATATTGAACGAAAACTTGAAAGCGATTTTAAATAGTGTTCCCGTGGCAATTTGTCAATGTTTGAGCACTAAAATTAAAGCTTAAAGTGTCCGCTTTAAGCTAAGAAACTTTTGGTTAGAAAAAGAAATCAAAATCATATCGAGAAATTGAAAAAACCCGACCGCTTACACGGAAGAAGATGACTCGATATTGAACGAAGATTTCAAAGCGATTTTAAATTGCGATCCCGTGGAAATTTGTCAACATTTAAGCACTCAAATTAAAGTTGAAAGCGTCCGCTTCAAGATAGGATGATTTCTCTTCAAATCAAATTTCGCGATCGCTTCTAAAAAGTATAATGTTGACCATTGTAAAAAATACTCTATATTGGCGACGATAAAAAGTCTTCTTCGGCACGAAATGGCTGCAGAAAATTTCTCGGAATATTTCTGTAGTATAAATTACCACATTTTAGACTCACTTGGCCATTTCTTCGTCGTTCGCTTCCTCCTCGGTTTCAGAGCCGAGCGGGCTCCCATTCGGTGTTGATCCGCTGTTGCTGAACGTCACGCTGCTGCTGTCCTCGCTTTCGGTCCTCCCAAACTTCGACGTGGTTCCCTGCGACAATTTAACAAATTCCAAATATTTAATATACCATTCGCAGCAAAACCACCGACAGTTTTCATCCACCGCGAGAACGGCGAATTCTTTGAGATTCTTCGCTGAAACATTTCGCAAGCTTTAAAGCTGATTAAGCCAGGACCTGTTCGAGAAGATCTCGACCACAGTTCCACGTGTCGCCGACTTAACTGAAATTGCAGAAATTATCTGATGCGGTGATTCAGAGCCGCTGCCGCGGATCGCAGTGCAAACATCACGCCATCGCTGAGATATATGTATAAGTACATATGTACGACAGCCTCCCAGCGCACCGCACCAAATCATTTTCAGATTATGAGTGGTTCATACAAATTGTTAACATTATTGTATATTAATATTAATATTATATATACAATAATATTAATATAGAATAATATTACTATATGATAATATTAATATACAACAATATTAATATAGAATAATATTACTATACAATAGTATTAATATACAACAATATTAATATAGAATAATATTACTATAGAATAATATTAATATACAACAATATTAATATAGAATAATATTACTATACAATAGTATTAATATACAACAATATTAATATAGAATAATATTACTATAGAATAATATTAATATACAACAATATTAATATAGAATAATATTACTATACAATAATATTAATATACAACAATATTAATGTAGAATAATATTACTATACGATAATATTAATATACAAAAATACGCCGAGCCAAATCAGTCGACTGAAGCGAAGACAGAACGATCGAACAGAGAGGGGGGAAGAGCCACCGTATCGGCAAACCGGAAACGAACCTCCTGGATCCTGTCCAGCCTCGGCTTCTCAGCGCCGGACAACGCTTTCTCCAACGAGTAGATCGAACTGTATCTGTGATCGGCTGCATCCTTCCCGTTCATAGAGAACCAACGGTCTTACGTCTTCGATTTCCACGCGGCGAAAGAGGAATCGCAGGCTTGCCAAAACCTTATCGAACAGTGATATTCGCAGCTCCAAAATTCTGATCGTTGCTGGATCAAGAGAGACAGAGAGGGGGCTGATCGACGAAGAGAGAACCTGGTAACGAATTTCTTCTGCACGCACAACACCTGATAATTGCGACGCTGCTCTTAATCCTGTTAGAAGCGACGCACTGACGACCGTTCGTAGGAGACGGTGTTGTTGTTGATCGCGATTGTTCTCGACGATTCGCCTAACACCGTCGCCGAATTCTGTGTACCGAAGCAGCTCTGTGATTATCGACGCCGCAATGTTTTTCCATATTAACCCTTTGCGCTCGAAGAATTAATATATTAGATCTGAGATCTGGGAAAAGGCGAGGAAAATTACACGAATTCGAAGCGACGGTTCGGACGAATTTCGAGATACGTTCCCGTGGAGATATTTTTATGTAACTTAGCTTAAACGAAAGCTGGAAGTGTCTACTTTGAGATAGGGTAGATTAGATTGCGATAGAATGATGAGATCATTTTGAAAAATTGAAAGGAATCGACCTCTGACATCGTGCGGTTTACAAGATTTGAAAGGAGATATTCTGATGAATTTTAAGATACGTTCGCGTGAAGCTATTTTTACGCACGTTAGCTTAAATGAAAGCTGGAAGTTCCTACTTTAAGATAGGGTAAATTAGATTGCAATGGAATGACGAGATCGTTTTGAAAAATTAAAAGGAATCGACCTGTAACATCGTGGAGTTTACAAGATTTAAAAGGAGATGTTCAGATGAATTTCGAGATACGTTCCCGTAGAGCTAATTTTATGTAATATAGCTTAAATGAAAGCTGGAAGTGCATATTTTAAGATAGGGTAAATTAGATTGCGATAGAATGACGAGATCGTTCTGAAAAATTAAAAGCAATGGACCTCCAACATCATAAGGTTCATAAGATTTAAAAGAATATGTTTAGATGAATTTCGAGATACGTTCCCATGGAGCTAATTTTATTTAATTTAGCTTAAATGAAAGCTGGAAGTGTCTACTGTAAGATATGGTAAATTAGATTGTAACGTAACGACGAGATCGTTTCGAAAAATTAAAAAGAATCGACCTCTAGCATCATAGAGATTTACAAGCATCTGCTTCGGATGAATTTCGAGAATTAATTCCCGTAAATAACGTTTCCTGGTGATTCTCTGTTCTTTACAAATTAAATAGTCCCACCTTTTGCCTGTCAATCCGCAGATCCTCCATTTCGTCCAGATTACTCGGCATCGATATGCTGGTTTTACGAATACGCGCCGCGTTCAGTGCTCCAGTCGTTTCAGGACGAACGAGTCCTGCGACGGTCCCGTTCTCGATGACTTCCGGCCGCCGTTCCGCCACCGTACTAGCTTTCGACGCGTTAAGATCGGTCAGCTTCTGATCTGTAACATAATTCCTCGATTTTACCACTATAAACTTTCCAACGATTCTTTCTCATCCCTCAAACAATCTTCGATTATTGCGTTCCTTGCTTTTGTTGCTCTTTTATCGCCGTTCAATTTATATTTATTACAATTAAATTGCGAATCTTTATGCAAAATAAAAATGCTCTGTATCTGTTGCGAGCAGTAGAAACCCAATTAATTCACATTATATCTATATTGTATTTATATTATATTTATATTATATTTATATTATATTTATATTATATTTATATTATATTTATATTATATTTATATTATATTTATATTATATTTTATTTCATTTCGTATAATATTTTTTATCATATTTCTTTCTTTCTTTCTCTTTCTTTCGAAACATTTTGCAACAGACGTTATTACCATTTTTAAACCAATAAAACCTTTTTGTCGGCGACGCTGTCTTTTGTTTCAAACGCCTGTAACCTCCGCAATTTGAACGCGTCGCGCACGACGAAAAGAAGCCGAGGAATCTTCGGATCGTTCGCCATGTGCGACTGTCCCGACGTAAAGGACGAACGGCGAGCCGGCGCGGAAACCGTGACGCTTTTCACGTCGTGCGCGAAATCGTATCGTCCCGCGAAAGATGTGACCGGGAGACTCAGCTGCGCCACGATTTCGGATAAGGACGACCTGGAGCCGGTGGATTCTTCGCAGTCCATTCTAGGATTGACCGTCTGTCGCAACACGAACGTGTCTCCTGCGAGCTCCGTATCCTCCAGCGACACCAGAACGGTACAGCAAATTCTCCCCAATTGTCCCTCGGCTTGTACACGAAAGTGGACAATTTGGGATTTTTGTTTCCAAGCTGAGCATCAATTAGCGAGAATTTACATTCGTTCGAATGGAAACAGATTTACGACCAGACTGCGGATTTTGTGCATTTGAAAGTGTTTAAGAACATCGTTGCATCGTCAACGACCTCCTAAAATTATTGAAATGGACAAATCGAGTTTCGCTTCGTTTCCGTTTCCCGCGATTGACTTGGACAATTTTTAACTCGCACAGAGATCCGCAGTCCGCTTACAGGAATTGCAAGATAGAATTACAAGAAGATTTGAGCTGCGCAGAATTGATATATATATATATATATATATATATATATATATATATATATATATATATATTAATTATATATATTAATATATATATATATATTAATTATATATATTAATATACATAAATATATTCGACAATTTCTCCAACGGAAGCAGCTTCACGACAATTATGAAATAATTGACGCTCAGCTTGAAAATAAGAATGAACAATTTGGGAATAATTGTATCTCCTCTTCCCAAATTGTCCATTTCTGTCTCCAAGCTCAATTAGAGCGAATTGAATTGCAATCCGACCGTATCAATGTTAGTACTTTTAACACTAGATTTACAGAACCCGTCAAAATGACTGATCTTTTCATTTACAATTATTCATATCGTAAAAAGGCACAAGTTATTTATTCAATTTGTATGTTACTCAATAATTGCAAATGTTACAACAACGCTTGTTCAAGATCAGAATAAATGTCTTATCGTTACTTTTATAAATATAAAATAGTTTTTCTCTGCTCCGCAAATCTAGTGTTAATCATTCTTCTCGAAACGTTCAACCGAACTCTGTGCAGTACAAGTTCGTCAGCCCTGCGGAATGCGAGTGCCTCTTGGGAGAAGACGAGGAGGAGGCGTGGCAGCCGCCGGCGGTGTCGTTCGAGCCGTGCATCTGCGAGGAGGAAGCCGAAGAGGAGCCGGACATCGAGTGCACTCTGGCGATCATCAAACCGGAAGCTGTGGTTTACAGGAGGCAGATCGAGCGGCGCGTCTTCGAGGAAGGCTTCGAGGTGTATCGAACGCGGTGGCTGCAGCTCACGCCGGAACAGGTGTCCGAGTTCTATTCGGACAGGTACGGCCAGACGAACTTCGCGCACCTGGTGGCTTACATGGCGTCAGGCCCCATAGTCGTCCATGTTCTGGCCAAGCACCGCGCCGTGCAGGAGTGGAGGATGCTCATGGGCCCGACCAAGGTAGGCTCTTCAAGGTTTTCACGATTGTTCGGTATTAATGCGACGTCGTTAATTAATTACTGTTGACATTGTTGTACGATAATTAATAAACGAACGCAGACGTTGAGGTATGCTGAAGTATACCTCTATATTCAATTTATGTGGTTGTTGCATTGTTTGTTTTGACCCTGCGTTTGAATTGCCAACATTTATGTTATTTAATAGCATGAACGATATATAGATTAAATTAGAAATTGAAAATTGAGAATTGAAAAATAGAAATTGAAAATTGAAAAATGAAAAATAGAAATTGAAAATTGAAAAATGAAAATTGAAAATTGAAAAAGGGAGATTGAAAATTGAAAAATTGAACATTGAACATTGAAAATTAACAATTGACAATTTAAAATTGAAAATTAAAGATTGAGAATTACAGATTAAAAATTAAAAATCTAAAATGAAAGATCTCAATATAATCTATACATCATTTATACTATTAATTTCTATAATTGTCGACGATTCAGACATAGAATCAGAATCAGAATCAGAATCAAATCAAATTAATACATAAATTAAATGTCATCTGCCTCCATATTTACATTATTGTCTAATAATATTATTAACGACAATTAACGACGCAACCGTTTATATTTCCTGCCAATTCTCGTTGAACCCGGTGCAACGATCCGTGTCCAGGTGACAGAGGCGCGGCTGTATTATCCCGACAGTATCAGAGCCAGATACGGCAGGCGAGGCGAGGATTTCAAGAACGCCGTTCACGGTAGCTGCTCCAGGAAGGAAGCGGAGAGAGAGATACACTTCTTCTTTCCTGAATGTGAGTGCAGATCCGAGTCTGTTTAAACGCGTCGGTGCTTCTAGATCTTCTTACGACGATTCCTTTTTTGAATTGTCCTCTCGCAGCGATCGTGGAGCCTATTTTGAAGAATCAAATGGCCGTCGACCACTTGGAGGAGGTCGTCAATTCGGTTCTCACGGAGGGACTGTCCTTGGTAAATGGTGATAAAACTTATAATTAGATGCAATTTTATGCAATTGGATATATTCTTTTAAAGCTTGACAGTTCTGGAGACTATAATTGTTGTGCCATGATCTGGTAATAATCAATTAATTATTCAGTGTTGCAAGCTGAAGCCAGCCGAGCCGATCCTGTGGCTGGCCCACTGGCTGATCCTGAACAACCCTAACAAGCCGAAGCTACCGCAGGACCTCGCAATGATTCCAACTTAAACCTCCTCTGTACCTTCTGTCTAATTCAGGATTCGATTAAAACCAGTCTATGCTAATCAATTAATTACTGATGTCTCACCTACTGTGTCCGGTCCTCTTTGAAATTCGCATCGACGACATGACGCGCGACTGATCGATCTTCTCAGCGAGCTCGACAGCACCGGACTGTACCTGGAAACATCGTGCTAATTAGCGGCAAGATTCAATTAACGCACCGAGAACTATCGAACGAATGAAAACGATCGATATCAGACTTTTTCTTTTAGAAAAGGTCATTTGAAACAACTTTTTCCTTAGCGAAAATACGATCCGCGGTTTCGTTTACGAGTTATTGACGAAAAACGGTGACCAATGAGAGGCGAGCGCGCTTCTGGTGCTAGGCGGCAGTGTCAGTGGGCGGGACTGGGCTTCGCGCGCTCGTTGGCTCGGCTGCCTCGCGTCAGGCGCGCTCGCCTCTCATTGGTCGCTGCTTTTCCGTTAATAACTCGTGAACGAAGTCTCGGAGAAAATTTTTGTAAAGGAAAAAGTTGCTTCAAACGACCTCAGGAACCCCTCACTTCCCGCTTGCACAATAATTCCGGCACATCTTGTATAATAATCTTGGCGTTCTTACAAAGCAACACACATTCAATCTCGATAGTTCCAGCGTGATTCCGCGCGTCGATCAACAAACACACCTCGAAGTCACAAGGTTCTGCACGACGTTGACCAGCTCCTTGTCCTCGAAGCCCCTCGTGGGATCCTTGACCTCCAAGCAGTCCTTCCCTGGCTCCCTTTCGTCTATCCCTTCGGTCGAGGTATCGTTCTGGCATGGACTGACGATCACGGTAGGCAGAAGAAGATTCCCGGACGCGCGCGTCTCGCTCTTTCCCGAGTCTACCTTCAACGGCGAGCACCACGTGGAACTCCTGCGGATCGGGGAATCGGCCGATTAGAGAGCCTGAATGATAAATCCAGTCGATTCGGACGATCTCCCTCGAATTCCGTCGAGAGATTTCGGACGGTACCTGGGCCGCTCCTCCGTCTCGAATCGTACTCTCGCGACTGACCCGGCCCTGTACTCGTGATCGAAATCATCGCGCGTGATTTCCTGCGCCGCGCCGATTAACCCATTCCCGCCCGGAATTGTCTGATCGTCCCGGAGGCCGCAGTTACGCCTTGAGCTCCTCGCCGGCGACTTCTTCCTGCTCGATCTCTGCGACGATACCGGCGTGCTGAACCCAGTTTCCACCGGCGATCTGCGTCAACAATGCCAAAACTTGTCAAAGGGTTAATCGTCACGAGCCGTTACACTTTCTCGATTATTTCAAGAGCTATTGTCGATCTTTCCTTCTTTCTATTCTTTTATATTTCTTTATATTATTGCTATTATTAGAGCATTGCTACTATTTTTATATTTTATTGCATCTATATTCTTCTATTCTTTTATTATATTTCTATCCTTATTTCCACTATTACTGTTGTTTCTATTTTCTATTTTATTTTATTGCATTTATGTTCTTCTATTTCTCCTCACATCTACCCTTATTTCCACTATTGCTATTATTTTTATTTTGTACTTTAACTTTACTATATTTGTATTTTTCTATCATTTATATTACCTGCGTCAACAATGCCAAAACTTGTCAAAGGGTTAATCGTCACGAACCGTTACACTTTCTCGATCATGTCAAGAGCTATTGTCGATCTTTACTTCTTTCTATTCTTTTATATTTCTTTATATTATTGCTATTATTTTTATATTTTATTGCATCTATAGTCTTCTATTCTTTCATTATATTTCTATCCTTATTTCCACTATTACTGTTGTTTCTATTTTCTATTTTGTTTTATTGCATTTATATTGTTCTATATTTCCTCACATCTACCCTTATTTCCACTATTGCTATTATTTTTATTTTGTACTTTAATTTTACTGTATTTGTATTTTTCTATCATTTATATTACCTCGCGTCTACCTTTATTTCCACTATTGCTACCATTTCTGTTTCACACTTCATTTCACTGCATTTATATCAATGTCTTTCACACTCACTTGCTATCGTTATCCCTGTTCCTTCTACATTCGCCTAACACTTTTACGATTACTTGACCGCGAATCATTGCGCAAATTCTTATGTTCACACGTTCTTTCACAAAAGTCAGAATTAAAGAACAGAGTCGTGCGTCAACCGACAAATTTACCCGTTGCAAAAAGCAGATAACGAATAGCAATTACGAACGTACGTGCCGTAAATGCACAAATACGGTCTAATAATTATACTAAGTAATTATACCCTAAACAATTGTACTCTATAGTGCGATTCCGTGTCGCGTGCGTTGCTGAGACTCGTCCCGCAAAATACCAACAAATAATAGTAATTATTACAGTATTTAATATTGTCAATATTATGTGTGATACTAATATTATTATTATTACATATGATATGTTAATATTAATATTATTAATATTACATATGATATTAATATTAATATTATTAATATTATATGTAATATTATTATTAACATTATCTATAACAATAATATTAGTATTACTAATATTATCTATAACAGTAATATTAATATTATTAATATTATATATGATATTATTATTCATATTATTAATATTATATGTAATATTATTATTAACATTATCTATAACAATAATATTAGTATTATTAATATTATCTATAACAGTAATATTAATATTATTAATATTATATAATATGATATTATTATTCATATTATTAGTATTATATGTAATATTATTATTAACATTATCTATAACAATAATATTAATATTATTAATATTATCAATATTATACATGATATTAATATCAATATTATCAATATTATAAATTATACTATTATTATTATTGGAACCTTCGACGGACACAAGCTCCGCAGGAATCTCCGAGGAGGATCGGCGATCGGAGCAGAGGTTTACCTGGTCGGCGAGTGCCAAGGATCCACCCAGGTGGGTTCGGCGGAGCTGGACTCGGCGGTCCCGCCGTTGGAATTCGGGTCCAAAGCGTTGGTGTAGGCCGGCCTGTACCACGGCGAGGGTGGTCTTCGGATCGTTCTGCCGGGCGACGTCGACTCCTGCAGATTGTTCCCGTTCGATTGCGGCTGCGCGATCGATAGAGAAACGCCTCGACGCTCCGCCAAGCCGACCGGATCGACACTGGCCACTCGGACGTCCCAGGGATCGACGATCGAGAGCAACACTTTCTGCGCAAAGGGAACAAGGATGGAGCGCGAGCGACGTTACTGCCGGTTCGGGGACCGAGGGGAGAGAGCGGTGACATCGTCGACGCGGCAGTTGGCCAGTTAAGCTTGATTAAAGTGACAAACGGTGCGGGGCCCGGCCGAGCAGAATGAGAATGATCGTCTTGGACGATGCGCACAGCCGGCTGGGAAACAATTCCCGACTCGAGCCTCCGCTTTTTCCGCTTTCACGCCACAACGAAATTCTCGTTCGCCTGAAACTACGGGATTTGGGAGACTAGGACGATGCCAAGGATCTCTCGCGTGACTCTGGGATCGATAGATCGCGGATTTTCGATAGAAATTTTTATTCTTTCACGCTCATGGCGAAAGTGGGCGGGGCCGATGCAGAACGCTGAACACGCCGGAAGAATTTGAGAACGTTGATGCGTTATTTTTGGATTGTTAAAACCGACGGGGAAGGGGACGCGGTTTTATTTCACTCGTGTTTGACGCGATTTTAGCATGACGTTTTCTTTTTTTTTATTTCAAGCAAAAATTCGCGGACCACCTGTTGATTCGATTCGATAAGATGTTTTTTTATTATATTGATAATTATATATCAAATTATCGAATGTTCTTCCGGTTTTATTTCGGACCAGACTATTCTACTCTGTTTTTCAGATATTTTCGACTATTTTGCAAAAGATTGTTTTTAATAGGAGAAGGTCGGTATTCACTTTCCTACGAGTTCGACCTTTAAACTTTAAAACGACGCTAAAATAATTGTGGCCGCAGAAAGGGAATTCGCAGACCGCTGTGCATTGCTGGGAACGGCCGACGCCTGGCGACATCTTAGGAGGGCAAGATAGTTTGTAATTTTCGAGAAATTTATCGTCAATTTTTTTTGTAATTTTATGGTACTATTTCTTTATTTTTAATTCTTTGTATTACTATTTCTTTATTTTTAATTTTATGTTACTATTTCTTTAGTTTAAGTTTTACGTTACCACTTTTTATTGCAAATTTTATACTATTTTACTACAAATTTAAAAAAAATCGATTTTCTTCGTTCGTTTTAAACGACAGTTTAATGTCTCGACGACGCGAGCCTAATCCTACACCTACCTGACACGCGTGACACGTACTTACCTCGAAATTCCTCGAATCTGAAAAAGTTGCGAGTCCTCGAAATTCGAGACTTCGTGCCGTTTTTTGTGATTCGAGACTGTCGAAACTCAAATGAATAATAACTCGTACGAACAACTTACGAGAATACACCGATGAAAATTAGAGATTTTACCCTTATTTTTCAGACTGGTCTAAACGACTTGAATTTTGCTTAGACGGCAAAAGAATCCGCCGATTATAATGATAAACGAAAAGAAAAATACTCTCCTAGAATAGAAATCGTACAAAGTTCGAATAAATCCAATCTCGACATCGTTGGGAAACAACGTACATTCGAGCTCGATAGTTCCAGCGTTAATCGTTCCGCGCGTCAACCGATACACAGGGAGTCCCAGAATTATGGTACTTCCGGGAAATTAGAGATTCCCGAGGTCGTTCGAAGCAACTTTTTCCTTTTCAAAAATTTCCTCCGAGGCGTCGTTAACGAATTATTAACGAAAAACACTGACCAATGAGAGGCGAGCTCGACCGGCGCGAGGCGGCCCAGCCAACGAGCGCGCGAAGCCCAGTCCCGCCCACCGGTTCGGCCGCCTAGCGCCAAGCGAGCTCGCCTCTCATTGGTCGTCGTTTTTCATTAATAACTCGCGAACGAAGCCGCGGATTGCATTGTCGCTAAGGAAAAAGTTACTTCAAATCGCATCCGGAACCCCTCGTTTCCCGGAAACGCCATAGTTTTGGGACACGCTGTACAGTAAATTCTCCCTAATTGACGCTCGGATCGTGCACAGAAATGGACAACTTTGGAATAGAAGCTACGATTATTCGAGCCTCGTTTTTATAATTATCGAATAACCGTATCTCTCGTCCACATTCGTTCGCAAGCCGAAAGAAAATTAGGGATAATTGACTCGCAATTAGCCGACGGTTCCGTAATTCGCGGGCGGCCGGTTGCGTCGCACCTACCGCATGTTTGCCGTGCGTACACGTTCCGCTGTTGCGGCCGCATTATCGGCGGTCTGGTATCTTGTTTACGCGCGGCACGGCGCGGCGGCCGGCGAACAGCGTTCTCAAACAAGCGGCACAATAAACCGATTAAAAGAGAATCCGCGCCGCCAAGCGAAATCCGCCGATTAGCAAACGATAATGTTATCCCCCGGACAACCGTTTCGGGTTTGCTTTGTCGACGACGCTCGGCGACGCGGCCCCGATTAGGGCCCCGCGGATGAAAATCGTCTCGATTGTTCCGGCAATATCGCCGATAAAACGCGACGGCGGCGCGTGTTCGCGCCACGGGATCCATGGATCCGGCGAGCGGATCTCGAGGGCTTCGAGCTTACGGAGATAGCGACGCTATTATCGGATCGAGTTTACCAACAATCTCCAACTTAGCCGTCGAACAATGTCCTCGCGTAATGCACTCGTTTCCTTTATCCCCTGTTTGCTCGCTGTATCTCCGCTCGCTCGAAACCGACTGCTATTTCTTCTGCGATCGTCTCCCGTTTCGTTATTTATAGCCGGCCGTTGTTTTCTTCGTCTCGCCGGACGATATAATCGACGGACGTGGTGCGATAATTATAATATTAGATGCAATATTGTATAATACTTTCGAAAGGGGGTGTCAAGTTTATATAATATTATATAATATTAATATAATATTACATAACTTTGTATTATACATCCCCTTCAAAAGTATCCGAACGCCTGCTAATTTACTGTAAATCGTAATTTTTCTTATATATATATTTAACATTATAAATGATAAATATATTCGTAAAACATTAGCTGAACTTAATAAGAAACATTACGATTTACACTAAATTATATATACACATATTTATCAATAAAAGGTTATTATATTTTCGTATGCAAGCTGAGAGTCAATTAGCCAGAATTTACCGCATCAATCTGCAAACAATGATTCGTGCACGTTTCCTGTTCCTTTAACCGCTTGGACGCGCAACTCGCGACGAAATGCCGCTTGTGCGGTGCCGCGAGCGTGTTATCCCGCGATGCAAGACCGTTCATGCGGCGCGATGTTGACAGACCGTTGGTTATAACTTAAAAAACCAGGTCGGCCGCGGTGATTAAAATTTTGGTCACCCCTGCTTTATACGAATAGTATAAGCATCGCGACATTGCACGTTGAAGAGAGAAAGAAAAAGAAGAAAGAGAAGCGGTTAACGTCGGATCGCAAAAGAATCCCGCGTTTCGTCGAACTGCGAGAACTCCGCAGTTTATTAATAATAACATCATATCCGCGGTCGAATTATGTAAGAACCGAGCGTCGCGACGGCGCTCGACGAGCGCTGGTTCAACAGCTCCCGATTGATAATGAACGATCCGAGAGCGGTCGATCGTCTTCGAGCGGAGCCGAGCAAGTTTCCCACGAGCCGCGTGGAAATTAATCGGGCCGTATCGTCGCGATAACGAGGAAAATTCGCTCTAATCACCGTCGTTATCCGAGCGGACGCGCGTGCGGTAAACACAAGCTGCGAGAAGAGCCCAGTCTCGCGCCGGCGATTGATCGAGCTCTGCTCGATCTCCGTCGCGAGAAACGATGCGATCGGGTGATTACGACCTTCCAGGGACCGTCTGCTGCTAAACGGTCGCCAATATTTGCGGTTCGACCGAACGACCTCGGCGGAATCGTCGCGGAGACGCTAATCGGCCGGCCCTACGCTCGGCAGCGCAACAATGGCGTCCGCGCTGCGGGCGTTCAAGTCTCGAAGTGCGGTGAATTCTTTCCTAATTCGCGCTCGGATTCTGCACAAAAATGGACAATTTGAGAAGAGAGGATACGATTGTTCGAGAGTGAAGAATCTTTTTTACAGTTGGCGATTATCGATAATTATAAAAACGAGGCGCGAGGCTCGAATAATCGTAGCTTCTATTCCAAAGTTGTCCATTTCTGTGCACGATCCGAACGTCAATTAGGGAGAATTTACTGTACAGTGTGTCCCAAAACTATGGCGTTTCCGGGAAACGAGGGGTTCCTGATGCGATTTGAAGTAACTTTTTCCTTAACGACGATGCAATCCGCGGCTTCGTTCGCGAGTTATTAACGAAAAACGACGACCAATGAGAGGCGAGCTCGCCTGGCGCTAGGCGGCCTAGCCGGTGGGCGGGACTGGGCTTCGCGCGCTCGTTGGCTGGGCCGCCTCTCATTGGTCAGTGTTTTTCGTTAGTAATTCGTTAACGACGCCTCGGAGAAAATTTTTGTAAAGGAAAAAGTTGCTTCGAACGATCTCGGAAATCTCTAATTTCCCGGAAGTACCATAATTTTGGGACTCCCTGAATATCGGTAGACGCGCGGAACGATTAACGCTGGAACTATCGAGCTCGAATGTACGTTGTTTCCCAACGATGCCGAGATTGGATTTATTCGAACTTCGTACGATTTCTATTGTACGAGCTTTTTTCTTTTCGTTTAGGGTTAGTTAATAGGCGGGCCCTTCTGCCGTCTAAGCAAAATTCAAGTAATTCAGTCTGAAAAAGGTTAAAATAAATTCTCCCCAACTTTCCTTCGGCTTTTAAACAAAAATTGACGATTCGGGAAGAAGAGATACGATTATTATACGAGCCTCGCGGCTCGTTTTTATAATCGTCGACAATCGGCAACCATAAAAACGAGTCGCGATGCTCGGACAATCGCGTCGCCTCTCCCCAAATCGTCCACTCTTGTGCGCAAACCGATTCGTTCAGCCTGTCAACGTCGAAACCGTCCGTAAAACCGCCTCGTCCGTTAATTAATCTCTCCGTTGACGGATCCGCAATTATTCGCGATTCGCTATATTTCCGCGGCAAAGTTGCTTATTATTTACGTAATACGTCGACGACTGTTGCGAGAGCCAGAGCCGCGTCCGTCGGCTCGTTAGCATACTCTTTGGCAGATCGTGAAACAAAAATCGCCGGCGCAGTAGCGACAGCACAATGCCTCCAGCCAGTCCATCGAAGACGGTTCTCCGGAGCGCAGCGTCCGCGACAAAGCCGATTCTCGGGCGAACAATACACCCCGAAGAACACGGATTCCGATTTTTCGCACCGCGAACAAAGCCGCGACGCCGCAGTTCGCGCGAAACCGTCGTAGAATCCCGATCAATGGACCCATTGTCTCGGCGAAACTCGCGCGATTAGCGGATTCCGGAGGACGTGGTGGTGTGTACAATGAAGAAAACCGGCAGCCCCTTGCAACAATAAGATATTTATGCAGTAATGGGTATAGAAATTGTACAGAACGATTCACGCTTTGCTCGCCGGAAGCCTGCTAATAGGTTCCCCGCGCTCGTCCGAACAATAATCTTCCAAGGAGAACCAACACCGCTGTGTTCCCGGATCGATCGACTCCAGATCATCGAACACAATCCGCCGAGAAATTCTCGACCGATTTCGAGAGACCCGCTAGAAAACCGCCGGTGGACAAAGCGTCGAGACTTCGGTTCCCAGTCGCAAACATAAGAGATATACTTCCGACTCTCGTACACCGCGCGTCGGACCGTCGAAATCGTCGGGAAGCGTCGACGAAAAGATTCGCCAGCAACCTAGGCTAGTGTGAAATCTGAGCGCGTCTTTCCAGCCTCCGATCGTCGATCTAATTAACACCGATTCGGCGTGCGAATCGGCGCTGTCGAGTGTCGTCGGGTCGCAACGAAACCGAGAGTGTCCGCGGACGTTCCTAACGAAGCTAACGAGAGCTTGGAGAACGCGTCGCCGGGTAGCGAGATTTCGTCCGATCAACGAAAGAGGATTCACCCACCTTCTGGCCGTCGGCCCTCTTACGCTTCCTCTTCAGCTTCTCCATGGCTGCACGGCTTCGGGAGGATCGGCCCTCCCGGCGGGTCTCGTCCGCGCGTTCGACGCCGCAGAGCAGCCTCGGGCACCGATACGATCGGCCCGTGGAAGAGCCTCCACCTTGCGGGACAGGTGGTTTTCGACTGATCCTCCGTTCCTTGTATCGGCGCCCACTTAGCGATATCTTGGCTGTGCGGCCGCGTTCAAGTGTATCGGTACCGCGTCCGCGCCGATCCGCGTTCGCTCGCTCGCACGCACACACGCTCGCAGGACGCCGAGAGCAGAGATACGTCCCTCTTTTCCGCCCACGGTCGACCGATATCGATAAGTCCCGCGAGTGACCAAATCGGAGCGCGCTCTGCTCGGATCGTAGACGAAGAGAGAGAGAGAAAGAGAGAGAGAGAGGAGAGAAAGAGAGAGATAGGACGCGGCGGTTTGCTTCAGGGAGATGATTCGCGGTCCGCAGGAGTTTGGCCAAGTTCGATTCGCGAACGACGAAGCGGAATTAAATTTTCATTCGTTGGTCGATCGACGAGTAATTACATCTATTTGAAAAGAGTTCATTCGATTGAGAGATTCGCAGTCGAATCAGATTCATTCGCCGGAGACGAGTAACATTTTATTCGCGAATAAACTACTCGCAAATAAATTATTATATACATATAAATATATATTATATATATTGTATAATATAGTGTATACATTGTATAATATATTATATATATTGTATAATATAGTGTATATATTGTATAATATATTATATATATTGTATAAAACATATTATATATATTGTATAATATCTGTCTCTTATACACATCTAGATGTGTATAAGAGACAGATATTATACAATATATATAATATGTTTTATACAATATATATAATATATTATTCAATACATATTATATATTTTATACAATATATATAATATATTATTCAATACATATTATATATTTTATACAATATATATAATATATTATTCAATACATATTATATATTTTATACAATATATATAATATATTATTCAATACATATTATATATTTTATACAATATATATAATATATTATTCAATACATATTATATATTTTATACAATATATATAATATATTATTCAATACATATTATATATTTTATACAATATATATAATATATTATTCAATACATATTATATATTTTATACAATATATATAATATATTATTCAATACATATTATATATTTTATACAATATATATAATATATTATTCAATACATATTATATATTTTATACAATATATATAATATATTATTCAATACATATTATATATTTTATACAATATATATAATATATTATACCTGTCTCTTATACACATCTAGATGTGTATAAGAGACAGGTATAATATATTATATATATTGTATAAAACATATTATATATATTGTATAAAATATATAATATGTATTGCATAATATATTATATATATTGTATAAAATATATTATATGTATTGCATAATATATATTGTATATATTGTATAAAATATATTATACATATTTTATAATATATTATATATATTGTATAAAACATATTATATATATTGTATAATATATCATATATATTGTATAAAATATATTATATGTATTGCATAATATATCATATATATTGTATAAAATATATTATACATATTTTATAATATATTATATATATTGTATAAAACATATTATATATATTGTATAATATATCATATATATTGTATAAAATATATTATACATATTTTATAATATATTATATATATTGTATAAAACATATTATATATATTGTATAATATATCATATATATTGTATAAAATATATTATACATATTTTATAATATATTATATATATTGTATAAAACATATTATATATATTGTATAATATATCATATATATTGTATAAAATATATTATACATATTTTATAATATATTATATATATTGTATAAAACATATTATATATATTGTATAATATATCATATATATTGTATAAAATATATTATACATATTTTATAATATATTATATATATTGTATAAAACATATTATATATATTGTATAATATATCATATATATTGTATAAAATATATTATACATATTTTATAATATATTATATATATTGTATAAAACATATTATATATATTGTATAATATATCATATATATTGTATAAAATATATTATACATATTTTATAATATATTATATATATTGTATAAAACATATTATATATATTGTATAATATATCATATATATTGTATAAAATATATTATACATATTTTATAATATATTATATATATTGTATAAAACATATTATATATATTGTATAATATATCATATATATTGTATAAAATATATTATACATATTTTATAATATATTATATATATTGTATAAAACATATTATATATATTGTATAATATATCATATATATTGTATAAAATATATTATACATATTTTATAATATATTATATATATTGTATAAAACATATTATATATATTGTATAATATATCATATATATTGTATAAAATATATTATACATATTTTATAATATATTATATATATATTGTACAATGTATTATACATTATATAATATAATACATATATATTACATATATTATTTGTATATACAAACAGTTGAAAAATAAATCATACGCGAGCAAAGCAACCTGCTCGCAAAAGAATTATTCGCGAGTAAAATGATTCGATGATTTACTCGATCGAACAATTATCTACTCAAAAAGTTATTCGAACGATGCCCAACTCCGCGGCTGTAGGAGATTCGCACCGGGGCCCGAGGTTTGCGGTCTCGGAGGCCATCCGAGACCGCGCGGAAGGTCGCCGGTTCGGAAGGCCTGAAACGGTCGAGAGCTGGATATTCGAAGCGCGACGACCACCGGAGCGTTCGTTATACAATACGCGAAAAAATGGAAAAACAAGCGAGACAATTTATTACATAAGCGACATTGTATGCCGAGCGCCGATACCGAATCAGTGGAATTATGGGCACGAGAACTGTTCCGCGAGCGACGGTTCGCTCGGATTTCCAGTGGTCGAGACGTGACAGAGATTTTCTGATCGACCGCGACGTTCTCTAAAGCAGGGGTGGCCGTATTTTTTATCACTATGGACGATTTGCTTTTTTAAAATTATAACAGGTACAACGTTGGCAATCAATCATTAAAAAATTTCCACAAAGTCAAAACAGTTTAATTAATGGAACCGAAACTGGAATGTTAAAATTTATCATAGTGAATGAAATTAGAACTCTTTCGTAGACAAAATATGCTAGTCGAATTCGGTTTGTTCGAGTATATTACAATGGGAATTAATTTTCAGAGTTGGTCAAATATTAGTGTCGCCCATATGTGACCGACGCGGCGCTCAACGTGTTAAGTGATCATAAGTATTAATTTAACACTAGAACTAGCAAACCAGTCGGAGTGACTCATTATTTATTCCTTCTTTCACAGTTGCAGAAATTATAGAAACGTCTCAACGAGAAATCGTTTGCAAAACTATTTTACCGCAGCATATACTATGCCAGAAATCGTACAGAGTCTGAATAGATCAAACTTAAACACTGTTACAAAAGAATATGCTTCGGTCACGGTCAGAGTTCTAGTGTTAAAGCCAAAGATCAGTTTAAATTAAAAATAAACATAATAATATCAGACAGGCGGTCGCGACTAGGAACAGTTACACGGTCGGCGCTTCGGCCACCCCTGTTCTAAGGGATGAATCCCGGGTTCCGGGATAACGCGCGGAACGCTGAACACGCTGATTCAGCGAGTCACGAGATCGTAGCGAAATAATTCCACGCGTTAGTCACGCGGTAGGCGAAACGATAATGCGAGGACGATTCAGATATTAACGAGGTTCGCTTAATAAAAGAGAAAAAAGAGAAAAAGACAGAAGAGTGGCTCTTTTGTGATGACCGATCGCGGTGCACGCATTAAAACCGGTTTATGAATTATAAATACAATATAGTGCAATCGCTCTGTGTAATCTCGGGAGTAGTGGTGCACGGAGAGATGTTGACGCGAACCGTGGCGTGGACAGTCTTTTTTAATGAGAACATCACGTGCATGTTTATCGCGGTTGTTGTTGTTATTATTGCTCTTAAATTAGCCAGCACCATCGTTCCCGAGACTGCACGCGAAACGCTGAAACCGCGGTCCGGACGCGGAGACGCGGTTGGAAGAGCAAGAGAACAACGCATTCCTTACGCCGCTCGAGTAAAAACAATATAATGCGAATAACGAAGAAACAAGGCAGAGCGTCGTAGCAGAATTTTAATAGTCGAAGAGAATTCAAGAAGTGATTTCTCTGCATTTCGTTTATTTCTCCCCGGTTTGTGAATAAGATGATTCGCAAAACAAATTCTCGAAGTGAGTACCGTGTTGTCGCTGATCCGGAACGCCGAGTCCCGCCGCGATGGCGATCGCCGCGCGGATCCCGGCGCCGGATGAATGAATTAATCGGAGCATTTCGTTATTTACGGGCTATATGATTATACATAATAATTCGTAATTAACGTCTAAGGAGTTTAACTGTAATGATATGGTCTTACTGTAACAATAATTAAATTATGCTACCTAACTTCGTCGTCCGACTCTCCCCGGACAGGACTTCGCTTTCGCAGCTTGGTTTTCATTAATGAAGTAATTAATAATTAATCGTGCCGCCCGCCTCGGTTTGTAAACCCATGGGAATTCGAATCGGAACACGGTCGTACACGCGGTGTCGCGGTTCGCTACGCTCGTTTTTACAAAAATACTATTGGGACGACAATAAATAATCATCAACGATCCGCGCACGTCTGCTGATTTTATTCGCGGACTAGGCGATCGCAATAAATATACACGTCACAAATAAATACACGCGGAACAATGAACGCCGATAAAATTTCTCGAGAAATTCTCTCTTCCTCTCTCTCTCTCTCTCGCTCGCTCTCTCACACGCATACACTTGCTCTCTCGTTTCCTCGCCTCGCCTCGAACTTCAATGAAGAAGACGCACCCCACCGTGTGCGATGCGCGTGTAACTTGGACGTATTTCATCTCACCGACCCGGCAAAGTATACTCTTACGCTAAACGACACCCCTAATTTCACACCGCCGAAAAATCTTATTGCTGCGAATGTACACACCGAGAGAGAACGCGCTATCTCTCCCTCACACACTCTCTCTCTCTCTTTCTCTCTCGCTCGCTCTCTAACACGACGCGTGCGCTGTCCCGTTAATTATATAATTACTTCATCGATTAATGGAATAATACATCACAAAAAACTCATAAAAATCTAAACGGCTGCGTCTCTCCGACGACCGGCGGTCCTGCGACCGTCGGCCGCGGGGGGTGCTAACGCGGCCCGCCAATCGCGAGCCGCTCAACAACAGCTAGAACGCCGGCAACAACAGGTGTGTACGCGCCGCTCCGCACAGTTCCCGGGACAGAATTATTAATTATTAATTATTCACAGAACAAGAATTGTGGGTCGTGTTCGCCGCGCGTTCCCCGTTCGATCGGTCAACAACGGCAGGACCAACGAATCAACGCGTCCAGTAACATAACCGATCCTCTCGCACCCCCTGGCTCGCCAGGAACCGGCATCCGCGCGAACAACAGCATCCTCGCTCTTCCTTTCTACAGCCTACCCCCCCCCTATCCCCTACCGCTATTCTCAAAACACATCGTTTCACAATCCACCCGGCGTCGCTCTTCATTCATCCAGAATAAAGTTTAAAAACATTAACGATTAGTTATACATCTATCCCTAGAATTATTATCTGCTGAGGCTGCTCTCGTTGCCGGCCGGTTCGCGAACCGTCCGGAGCGGGCAACGAAAGCGTACGCGATCTTGGGACAATCGTTGGCCATCGTTCGTCTCCTCTCGCTCGCCTAACGGCGCAACAAAACACGTAGCGCGTTCAACCCCTCGTGAACGTCTCCGTTTGCAAATCTTTCCAAGGATCGTCGGACAGGTAAAAATGCTACAAAAGAAACGTCGCATAAGCCGTTGCATCATCTACAGAAGACGGTAACGTGTCATTAGTTTCTATGCTCGAGAGAGAAACGCGACCGGCCAACGATTGTGCCAAAACAGCCTGTACAAGTTGTTCGTCGAACAATGGCGGAAGAAGTCTCGCTCCGGAGGACTCGCCGCGTAACCCGTGAACCGCGACGAGCAGGCCAAGGTCGTTCAAAAGTTCATCGGTATTCGAACCGACCAAAGACATTAAAATTACTCGTATATTCATATATATATAATTTGTATATATATTTATATATCTTCATTTCGTTTTCTTATTATCAGCATCTATCCAACAGTGTCACTGAGTATTATCATTTATTACTTCTCCCATGGTTATGGCGTTCTCCACCGGTGTCTTCGAATGGCTTCATCGCCACTCTCCTGTCTCCGATTCATTCGGAGTAGTCGAGCCGTAGTGTGGTAGCCGATATTCTTTTTTTGAGTGTCCGCGCGAAACCGGAACCGCTCGCGACTCTGTGCCGACGTCTCTCCGGCGTGCAATAGTAAAAATATATAGCTCCCGAGGAAAATGATCGTCCCGCGGTCGCCCCGAAGTCCCCCTATGAACGGTCGCGACGATCGCCTGGACGAGTAAAACGAACGAGGAACGAAGCGCGCCTTGAAGAACGGACCTGCGCTGGATCGGTGCTTGAACGGAAAGCGAACGACTTAAACTAACACGTCGCGCAATAATACTTGTCGCCTGAGCTCCTTTCGCTCGCGCGAGAAAACCATTTTCCCACGTACCTATGCGTTAGGCTAGTAAAGAGGAACGTCCGGTGATTCGTGGTCTCCCCGTGACAGAGAGAGAGAGACGCTCCGAACACCCCAAATGCGATAGCAACGAGCGATAGGCCAAAGGTTCGAGTCTATAGGCTGATGATCTTCAGCTCGGTACTGTAACCCCCTCTTACCCTGGATACTAACGTAATTCTCTTATGTCTTTTCCACCTTCCTGAAACTAGAGTGCTGTTTTACCATGAAGATCTCCTATGGTAGAGAGCTAATTCTAACGATGACATCTTGTTTGCCCGTGGTATTGGTTTCTGTCGCGGTTCGCCTGTATGTATGTATGTGTATGCGTTTACGTATGTTGCCTTGTAGAAGAGAATCGCTACCTTCACGGTAGAATATTTCCTAACCTGTTGCCTGTGTGTACGTGGTGTTTGCTATTTGATTTTAGAATGCGTGTGAACGATGCACCGTTCGCGGACGAATCGCGGAGACGATCGTCTGCGAACCTGACGAAACAATAGTCTGATATGATTTTGGATGGTGTCTTACTCGTCTCCCTGCGCTGAGTGTTCGCCTTAAAAAAGTAATCCTAATCGACGTGATCCGGCTACGAGGACAGACGCGAGCGAAACCTTCGATGAAACGGCACGGCATCCGTCGTCGCGTATCATAATGCACCAAACTTTTCGGACCTTAGCGGCGGACTGTACGTCATTCGCCTGGGTCGTCCCACTTCGCCTCTTCGGCTATTCGGTCGAAGCAGTCGGACAGGAACGTGTACTGCGAAGAGAACAACGATTTCAAGAGACTGTGAGAGCGAGTGAATCGACGATCTTCAGACAAGACACTTACGTAGGGTGTGAAGACCTTAAGCCAGCGAGGCGGACGGTTGTCCTGGCGCGTGTACTGGAAGCAGAACGCCATACCCTCCTCGTCTATCTCCCATCGGGTGATGGCGTTCCATTGGAACTCGACCACTTGAGACTCCAGGGTGCCATCCTCCTTTGCCGCGTGAAGCTTGAACGATGCGGCGCCTACGGCCGCGACCACGTGCCCTTCCTTCCTGGAGTCGCACGCGCAATGAGGGAACACGATGTCGCCGTAGCCGCTCAGCTCCTTCGCCAGCTTCAGGTACTGCGAGCAAAACACATCCGTCAGAAATCGATAGTAGAGACCTTCGCGGATCAAACTATGGAGACTCGGACTACTTTAGTACAGTACCTCGTGCTTCCTCGACGCGTCCTGCAGCGCCTTCAGCTGGTACAGTCGCTCGCCGGCGGTAACATGGCCCCTGTTCACTTCGTCTATAGTCTGCCAGAAGATCCAAGTCAACGCCTGCTCGCCGAGCGATCTGTTCACATTGAAGAGCCACCTCCGTATCGCGAGGCACGTCGCGCTGGCCGTCGAGTAGTTTTGAATGTACAAAGTGTGGGGGTGTTCGTGAGGTTGCAGCTTCCTTTCTGAAAGCACAGCAATCTCAGACATCGAGAGACCCGTTCGCGGACCGTTCTCACGGCGTACCAACCCACCGAAATTGTACTCGACGATCTCGAACAGATAAAAGTATTTCGCCGTCTCCGCGTCCAAGCCGACTCGGCTGCAAACCGCGTCGTACACGTCCCTCACCGAAGCGGCCTTCGCGACGGTCACCGTGACCACCTCTCGGTCCGGCAGCAACACCTTCAGGTCCACCGCCGGCCCCTGGTCGCCGTCCTCCTCCAATCTATCGGTGAGGAAGTCCTGCATGGCGTCGCTTTCGGCGATCACCCGCACCGCGCACACCTTCTCCAGGTACTGTTCCAGTCCCCGCCGCCTCGCGTCCAGCTGCTGCTCGCTCAATCTACAAACGAACGTCCATGTACACGGTGTCGCCGAAGTACGCTCTCGTCTGTAACGCTGTCCACGGTAACTTTGTCGAGACTGCGGCGACAGCTGCGACGCCGGAACGCGAATCGGACGCGGTGCACGAGAGACCGTGCTCTTACCGTGGACAGAGTATAGCAAAGATGGCAACAGCTAGAGGGAGCGATATAAGTATTGTCAAGGTCCGAGACGAACTACCGTAGCCTTTTCTAGTATGTGAAAGTGCGTACTGGAACGGCCATTTCCCGGGCAGTTTCGGGAAGTTGAACCCGATGAACTCCTTCTTGAGGGCGACGTGCAGCGCGGCGAACTCTCTATAGCGTCGCGAGCACAGATGTCTGCCGGCCATATGGACGTTGAAGACCACGTAACGCTCGTGCCTCCTCTCGCGGACGTGGTAGTCGGGCACGCTGATGGGCAGCGACCGTTTCTCGCTGTAGTCCACCGACGCGTAACTGGAAGAACAAGACGGTTGTACATAATTGTGCGGGCGAGCCGAAGGCGATGAAGAAAAAACAATTCCGCGCCGGTGTTACCTCAGATCTTCGAACGGCTCCAATCGCTCCGCCTCCTGCGGCGTCACGGAGATGACGGTCAGCGTCAGGACGTCGCCCCCGGACTTGATCAAGTCGACCACCTGCTTGTGGGTGGCACCCTCGACGTTCACGTTGTTCCTGCAACCAGATACGGGACTGATCAATCCGATGAACTCGACGGAGAAACGGCGAGAGCTGACATTACCCGCCGGCGATCGCCCGCAACGGCGAGTCCGCCACGCGGCGTCCATTGTCCAACCACTCGCATCGCACCGCGGTCACGTAGCAGGACAACATCTGTGTCGAGACGGCGAACGCGAGACACTCTGGCATGCCCGCCGATTTTCCTCGGCTGAACTTGCGCGCCGCGACGCGTGCCTCCGCGCGGCAAGGTTTCTGCCGACGACTTTCGCGAAAACAAGGTGATCAGCCTCGCGCGAATTCAGGGCGTGAAAGGACGGCGGCGGCCGTTCGCGCAGCGGACACTAGCGACTAAATTCCCAAGACCCGCCCCCCTTGTTCTTTCTGCGCGTCGGCTTGGTGCACGGGCCCCTTCTTTCCCCCCTTCTAAGCAACTTCCACTATCTCCGATTCCGCGGCGAACCGAGTCCGCGGATAACAAGCCTTTTGCCACGGATCGACCGATATCTCGATATTTTTGCAACGCGATCGCGCAGCCCGTTCGCGGCGTTATCGTCGCGGCCGCGTGAATCCGCGCGGGCATCGACGGGATTCTGAATGTGGAGGAACGGCGTCGTTTTTCGTAACGGCTCTCGGTTTCGACGGGGAACGAGAACGAAAGTTGGGAAAGACGCGACTGGCGCGGCGCGCCGCGCCGCTCGGACACGTGGCCGCTCGTGACTGGACGATGCTACTTCCCGAAAACCGTGCGCGGCGCCCGCGGCACGGGTTCGGCCGTCCTGTAACCGTCCCGAGGCTATATCCACTGTGCACCGGGCTCTATAGGGTGGTAGCGTGCCCGACCGAGGCTTGCCGCATCCCCTTCTCGCAGACGCTCCTGCAGACGCATTCTACTGCAGGCGTGTTCTACTGCCGGAGTATTCTACTGCCGGCGCGGTCTACGATCTTCGTTCGACGCTACGAGCGAACGGATCTGTTAATAATAATTATTGTTATTTATTTACGGAAAGAAAAATCTCTTCGGAAAACATGCGATTCGCTCCTATGCCTTGCAGGTGACGCGGATAATTCTTATTTTGCGTAAACATCTGCGGTCTAGCAATGGCAAAAGAGTTGCAACTACAGTAATGTCTCTCTAATTGACGCTTAGATTTGTCTCCCTAATTGTCGCCCAAATTGCGCACTATAATAGACAATTTGGGAAGAGGAGACGCGATTATTCGAGCCTTGTGACTCGTTTTTTATGGTTATCGATTGTCAATAATTATAGATCTATACAATTATTATTTTATACGATTATTTATACAATTATTTTTACAATTATTTTATACAATTATTTTATACAATCTTCCCAGATTGTCCATTTTTCTGCACAATTTGAGTGTCAGTAAGGGAAACATTACTGTAATTCTTCGAGCCTCTTGCGACTCGTTTTTATCGATCATTCTTTATTTGTTTGTTGCTTTTATTTTTTAGTCGTACATTTTTGTGCACAATCCGAGCACAATTCAATCGATTGGTAAAAATTGACTCTAATCGGAAAAATCGCTGCTGGAAACTCACGATCGCAACGACTGCGCACACATTTTCGAGCTTCTCGAGTATAATGATCTCCGCGAGGGTTGTTTCACGAGCAGTCTGCGCGCCGTTTCTCGCGCGACCGAGCCCGGAGACGGCGAGGTTTTCGACTCGTTCCGCTTTTCGCAACAACTTTTCCGGAGAAGAAACTCTCGCGGCGATATTTTTAACGGTGCATTCCTATTTTTACGACGAACCCTTTTACGAGGCGCGTCCGTGGTTACCCTGAATGACTATCGATGCAACAGTGAATCGCTAGCCCCGCTCCCTGCAACCCCCCCACTCGCCATTGTGCTTCAACTTCCCAGACCGCGTCGAAGTCGAACCGAAGAAAACGCCGCGTCGCCCGGCGTCTGCTATTGATCGAACGCAGAAATAGAATCATCGAATCCGGGGAAAAGCCCTGGTAAAAAATCGCCGATTTCGGTGCATCGTTTTCGATCGGATCGATGTTAAGGAGCGATCGACGCACCGCGCTCGAAGAAGGAAGCTGCGACGAAATTGTCGTTCGCGTCTTCTTACCGCGTGCGACGTCGCTCGACTGTGAACGAGATAGCATTGTTGATCACCGGGAAACTGTGTTTGTCCACGATTCTTGTCGAGCATTATCGAACCGTACGAAAATGTGCCAAGATCATCTGTTAATCGCGCGCGCGATAACGACTTCATCGAACGGGGTTGATTGAACGCAGCCGTTTTTAATCGCGTGAATTTTTAATCGACGCCGACGGATTGACAAAATTCTGGTGAATTTAAATAATAATAATAATATTCTCTATTGTATTTATAAATATAATAACAATAATATTATTTATAATATTGTATTATATATTATATAATATAATATTATTTATAATATTGTATTATATATTATATAATATAATATTATTATATTATTATTATATAATGTTATTATATTTATTATATATTATATTATATAATATTATTATATTATTATTATATAATGTTATTATATTTATTATATATTATATTATATAATATAATATTATAATAATAATAATAATAATAATAATATTATTATTAATGTTATATTTATAAATACAAAATATATATATATAATATGTATACTATTATATATTTTTTAATATTGTACGTTGTTATATATATAATTACGGCTTTCTCACAAATTTAAGAGATCAATATCAAAAATATATCTGAATGCAAACAAATAAATATATATATATCTTCTCGAGACAATTAAAGCAGTATCTCGCGCGTCCACCGTTCAACAAAGTCGAAACGACCGAGTCATCGCGAGCTCCATCGACTCGTTTCCTGGAGCCGCAAGACCCGCGAGGCTCTAATCAGCAAAGTCGCGGGCGTAATTGAAGAGAAAGCTGAGCGTGCAGATCGCGGCGAATTCGCTGAACCGGTTAACACCTTCGCGAAAAACGAGATCGATCGTTCGCCTCTGGTTCTCTCTCTCTCTCTCTCTCTCTCTCTCTGGAATCATTTTCTTTCTTTCTTCGGAACGAAAAAAAAAAGAAGAAAAGGGAACACAACACGCGATCATCCCCGGCGAATTATGGATTCCGAGCGACCGCCATCTTGGCCTGGCGTGTGCTCTCGCGGAAGCAGAGCTCGTGGCACTTCGACACGAGGATAGGAATCGCGTTCCGTTCCCGTCGGGGATGTTACGTTGCTATTTGCCGTATACTCGGCCGGCTCCGAGCCTTATAAAAGAGGTCGCGCGCCGCGCGCTGTGTACATTTATCGGATCGATTCACGTTGATCGATAACGCCTCGCCTGGTAGGCCAGCATCCTTTCGAGCCGATCGAGGTCTCTCCTCGGATCGATCTGCCCACCGCCCACCACCGTAAATCCCGCGGCATCGAGACTGACATTCGCCGCAATTCCATCGGGGGGATAATGGTCTTGCGTGGACGAAATAAAGATCGCAGGCGAGGGATAGAGTAGACGTACCAATTATTGCCGAGTGTTCCTATTACTGCCGCTTTAATTGCCGGCAATAAAAGTAATAATAGTTCGTCGATGCCAACGGGAGAAACCCTTTGTTACACGGGGTGCAGAGAACGATAAGATGTAAGACGATATACAGAGAATAAATAAGTAAATAAATAATTGTAGAGAAATGATTGAAATTATTTTACTTGATAAAGAAGGAAGAGTTCTGTAAAAAGATCGCAGTGAGAATAGAGCAGATACCAACGGGAGAAACCCTTTGTTACACGGGGTGCAGGAGATAATAAGATGCAAAACGATATACAGAGAATAAATAAGTAAATAAATAATTGTGGAGAAACGATTGAAATTATTTTACTTGATAAAGAAGGAAGAGTTTTGTAAAAAGATCGCAGCGAGAATAGAGCAGATGCCAACGGGAGAAACCCTTTGTTACATGGGGTGCAGGAGACAATAAAATGTAAAACGATATACAGAGAATAAATAAGTAAATAAATAATTGTGGAGAAACGATTGAAATTATTTAACTTGATAAAGAAGAAAGAGTTTCGTAAAAAGATCGCAGCGAGAAAAGAGCAGATGTACCAATTATCGCTGGTATTCCTATTACTGCCACTTTAATTACTAGCAATAAAAGTAACGATAGTTTATAGATGTTAACGGAAAAAACCCTTTGTTACATAGGGTGCAGAAAAAAGTAAGATGCAAGAAGATGTATATAAAGAATAAATCAAGAAATAAAGAAATAATTGTGGAGAAATGATTGAACATTTTTTATATATATTTCACTTGTTAAAGAGGAAAGAGTTTTTTAGAAAATACAATAGAAAATCTTTTTGTTGCACGGTATATCGAGGATTATATATCTTGTGACATATTTAACATGAGAAATAACGAAATAATTCGCCATTTAGAATGGAAAATAACGAAACAACTCATTATTAAAAATAAAGAATGCCTGAATAACTCGTCACAAGAAATTGCCATTGCACCAAATGCGATATCATTTTCATTTTCTCACGACAGCCTCGGCAATAATAATCCGAATCGAACGATTTCTCGCAGTATTTTCATGCTTTCGCGTCGAATTGAATTCGGCAGGGTCCGCTCTCGGCCGTTTCTGCGTGCAGCGATAATTGCATTTGCTTCGCGGACGGTGCACGGTGGCCCGTTCACGCGTTGGTCAGCTTCTAACGAGGGCGGAGGGTGTAGGGGGAGAAAGAGAGAGAGAGAGAGAGAGAGAGAGAATCGTGAGAGAAAAATACTAAACGGGCTGGCTGCCTCTCTTCTCGCGGAGAAAGTGATAACACGCGCGAAGTTCCCGCGTTCGAAAGAGCACGCGACCAAGAGAGATCGGTGGAAGGGTTTCGGCTGGTTTGCGTCAGCCAGCGATTATGCAACGAATCTGGCCGATCGTCTTCCGCCTGGAATCCTCGCGCTGTTCCCGAACAGCTCGAAAGACGCCAAGTTCGAG